CACAGAGAGCAATTGAATCATAATTTAGAAAATCATCAGAACTGACAAAAACTTAGTTTAAATAAGAATCTAAGGATTTGAATATGTACTTTGCAAAGTAGCAGTGTTGACTTAAATTCGGAGAAATCAAAGTGGACAACTTGCTTCTTTAAAAGCAAAAAAAAAAAAAAAATTATAACATTTAAATGGCAGGGTTTTTACTTAATCCAGCCTGACAGAGGTAGTTTTAAAAATAAATAAACCCTCCCCTGCAGTATTTGAAGCACAAAGCTGCAGAATACAGAGTATGAATCCAACTTGGCCAAGTAAAATCTAAAGGGTAAAACATTAACACTTACAGAGAGAAATATATTTCTTCACTCATTATAAATTAACATATTTATTGTAATGAGATGAACATGTTTGTCTGCTGCATGCAGTTCCATGTGAATCAGATCCCTTCTGTTGCTCTTTAGGTAATTTCTGTGGAATAACTGTTCATAAACTTCTTAAAATCCGTTGGTGTAGGCCTGACCTGAAGGAGGTTATCTGTGAATCTACAGACTTCTCTGGTGCAGCTGGAAAAGCTTGTATGTCCCAGGAGAGGAAGAGCTGCAATTTGCAACCCTCACCAATTTTAGCTGCCAGAGAGTACGTGAGGTCTGTCAGGTGCCTGGAGGCAACTGCAACCTCTGCTGGAGGATTCCAGGCGATTTGCAGCTCCTGTCAGGCACCTGAAGGTAACAAGGATCCTCCTGGGGCACTCACAAAACCTCTGCTCACCATCTGACCCACCTACAATTCGACCCAGGCAGTGAGGCTCCAGCACCAGAGACCTCTACCAGCCCAGCAAAACCAGTATCAGGGTCCTTTGTGGGGGCAAAGCAGCTCCAGCACACAGCCTGACAGAACCAGACACACATTTTCAATATCATGATCCTCTCACCAGAGGTATAACCAAGATGGGGAAAGGAAACAGCACAGAAGACCCTGAACATCTCAGTGTGCTAAAACACAGTCATCAGAGGTCAAAACTTGAAGGAAAGCAGGTTTCCTGGAGACTACCACCACCTTCCAAAGAAACGGCAGGGGTTCTGGCAGCTGGGGGTTTCACGGAAATCTACAACCCATCAGCAGCATGTATCACCAGACTGATCAAATGGCTTGATTGCTTTGGGGTTTCATTTCTGCAGATCCTAGGAAAGCACCTTCATCTTCTGTGTGATCACTTCTGCCAGCTATCTTAGGATAGTGAATTATCTGGGGTAAGCTCCCCTAACTGTCTGCTTGGGCACTGGGGTTTTCTTTCTTCACGGCTAAGAAGAGAATGTTGGGCAAGGAATTCTTTTAAGCTACATTCTAAAGCAAGGAGTTGCCAATCTGGCTCCTATCCAAACTGTGCTATCTTTTTACTACTGTGCATCTCGTGCAGGTTCCTCCAGCCCCTGTTTTCTCAAAGAAATACTGAATGGTAATGTATGTGAGAGACTTCCCTAACACCATTCTCCAGCTCCAAAAGGAGCTACATTCCGTGCTTTGTTTTCCACCCAAGGAGGAGGAGCATGGCTCTGCCAGTGGGCAGTGCAGGGCTTTAGGGGTTCCTGCACTCTTCAGCCAGAGAAACACTCCCACAGTGCCTTCACTCACTCTGAACAAGACCAAACAGCCACCACAGACTCCCACACCTGTAATTCCAATTCCCTCCCCTGTTTCCAGCTGGGGTGAGTGTTGTTTGGGGTGTCTGTAGGTGCCAATATCACACTTTGATCCGAAACAGGGCTGCAAAGAAGAGTTATTATTAAAGGAGATCCTACACCATTCCCATAGCAAAGAAACCTTATCAGCTGTATGTGTCACCAAGCTCAACTGCTGAAACTGAGGACAAAAGCAAGCAGAAATGAACTGGGCTGGGGGGGAAGGGGGGGGGGGAATTAAAAGACCCACACATTTTCTGGTTTTGTAGTGCTGTTTTTACAATGGAAAAGTGGAACTAATTTAATCCTTAGTATAACTCTAATCTGCACATATTAATTACCCAGAGAAAGGGAGAAAATATATTTTAGTCAGTAATACCAGAAAAATCAATTTTAAAAAGCTACAAAAAGCCAGACACCTTTGGCCATTGAACATGAGTGAAATGAGACTTCCAAATGGCCGGAAAGCCTGGGGGAGGCAATATGCTATCAGTCCCGGGTCGTTGTCTGCTACTGTAATCTTGCCCCCACAAATAAATCCTGTGTTAGGCTGCCTAAAGGGAGCCAGCCCATAGGGGCTTTTTGCTCGCTTTATAAATAAAAAGAAGAAAAAGAAGAGGGGAAACCCCCTTTCAGCGCTCCACCCTGAGTGAGAAAGCAGCTCTCCCTGCCTCCTGCGGTAGGGCACAGGCTGGCTGATGCTTACCTTATAAAAGCGATTTAAGGCGGTGTGTGCTCGGTGCGAGGCGGCTCCAACACGTGTGTCACCCATGCGTGCCTGCTTCGCCATCAGCATGTATGGCTCATCATCTGTCTGCTCTGAACAATAACTGTTAGGTTAGCAGCCTTTTCACTTGTAAATGTAAATATTGTATCTAGAACACAATATTTGAAACACAAAATACAGTGTTATTAAGACGGCACTCACACATCAATTCTTGTGTGACTATAATTTGTGAAATGCTTTAGGAGGGGCTTATAAATAAAGTATAAGGTGTTATTATGAAATACATTTTAACCAAATGCACAGAAATGTCTCATTCCTATTGAAATCAATAGCAAAACTCCCACTAATTTCAGTGGTGAAAAGAGGAGACCCTTGGAAATCGCTGCGTTACACCGAGCAAACACATCACAGCAGATTTCAGTCTTCACAAGTAGTACAGCTCTGGAAGAAAAAAGGGGGTGAAGATGGGTATTAGAAGCTGTTTAGAACACGCGGAGGATTTTCGTCCCCCGCTCCTGCTGCTGGATGCGGCGCCTGGCGAGGCAGCACGTCCCCACGGAGCCACGCTCCATGCCCTGCCCGCTCCGGGATCCGGCACCGGGGCTGGGACGGAACCAGTGGGGGTTCCCGGCCCCAGCCCACCCGGGAGATGCCCCTTAGCTGGGCTGGGGGCGCGGCGAGCAGGGCAGGGCTGCCCTCGACCCGCCCGGCGGCGGCCCCGCTCCGGCGGCGCTGCGGGCACCGAGCGCTTCCCCGCCGTGCGCAGCCCGCCGCGGGCTTCTCCCCGTCCGCAGGGCACGGCAAGGAGCCCAGCGAGCCAGAAATGCCTCCTCTCCCTCCGCCAGGGCCAGCCGGCCTGTCACTGAAATCATCTCAAGGTCCATCCATCGCACGGCCGCGGGGCCGCAGCCTGCCCGGGAAAGGCTTCGGAAGGGTCGGTGACCGCACCGTGGAAGCCACCGGCGGTGGAGCACGGGCGGTGGAGCTGCGAGGCCGGGCACAGCCGGGAAGGGCAGGGAAGAGCTATGGGGAGCTGCCTCTGGCCGCGCTCCGGCACCTGCGGAAACAGCAACCAGCGCGCAGAAGCTGTCGGGGAGGAAGGGATGGGAAGCTCTTTTCCGTTCCTGGTTGAGAAGAAGTTGGCATTTCCATAACAAACTGCGTTAGTAGGTATAAACACGATAATTAGCTGTAGAAGTGCTGGGTTTGTACGTGTAATTAGTTGTTCCCGGTACCAAGTTAGCTGTGTGAGGAGGGACCTGCCTGTTGTGGTGTTTAATGCAATCTGTCTCTCTCTTATAGATACATAACGTGCAGGTATGATAAAAATATATACTAAAAAAGTTTAAAACTGACGTTTCTTTGACATTCGTGAATGGATGGCTTCCAGATAGTTAAAACTTAAAACATACTTAAAACTGACCAGTATCAAACTAATTTTTGCTTGCTTTAACCTCATTTTAATAACTATCATCTCATGCTTTGAGCGAAGCTGCTCTTTTCCCCTAAAGCGTTCGGATTTTACATGCATTTAATCTCATCTGCAGCATTGCAACCACCGTAGCAGCACAGCCCTGCTACCCCAAGTCTCCAGTGAAGTGCTATATGCGGTGACAAATATGCCAAAAGGAAACCATAACCAGCCTAGATGGTATCTCTGCTTTACAAAGGCTGCTTGTGATGCCTGTGCTTTGACTCAAAACTCCCCGCACGTTGGCTTTTTAATCATGAGATCCCTTTTTCAGCACAGCATCGAGAGTAACAACTGCAGCACAATGAGCCAGCTTCATAGATATGGGAATGTTTAGATTTCCCTGCCACTGACTAAAGGCCTTTAGCTTTCACTAGCCAGTCCCAGCTCGCATTGTTGTTGCCTGTTGATTTGTCTTCTCTCATTATTCCTTGACATGCAGCTCTCCACCCACGCCCACACTAACAACCCTCACACAAAGCGCATTGAGGTATTAACCAGGTTACAAGTTCAATGGAAAATTACACTAAGATTGTGCTGTGTGGCAATATAAAGGGATGGCATTCACTCTCCCAAAGAGCCTGTTAAAAACACAGCTGGGTTGGTTTTTTCCCCTTTTAAGCATCCTAACAAAAACAATTTTTAGAAGTGGGGGGTGTATATCTGGGTGTATGTGTGTCCATACGTCCTTTAGGTACAATGGGGACAGACAGACACAGGCCTGGCATGGTGAAAATCCCCTCTGGAAATTCTGCTGGATTCTGGAGTTCGTTTAGAGTATCCCCAGAAACGCCAGCTAAATAAACAATCTCCTCCTGCTCTCAGTTAGATACGTGAACCTATCTAACCTATCTTCTTCTGCTAGCCCAAATTACAGGCTGGTGGAAGGGCTGAAAGTCTGTAAAAGTGCTCCTTAAGACCCTCTCCTTACTGAAAACTGAAAATTAAATCAAAATTAAACTTAATGTTATCTTATTTTTGTTAGCCCAAATTACAGGCTGGTGGAAGGGCTGAAAGTCTATCAAAGTGCTCCTTAAAAACCCCTCCTTAATGAAAACTGAAAATAAAATCAAAATAAAACTTAATGAGGTTAACCTAGCACAGTAACAAAATTTGCAACACCACACTATAAGGTTAAAAAGAAAATAGTATAATAAAGGAAATACAAAGGCTTTGGCATGGTTTTTACAATCAACAATGGTTAATCTCGATATGTAGTTGTGAACAACTTCAAAACACTTAAGTTTAAAACTCTTGCAAGCACTTTTAATTGATTAAGAATGAATTCTAGATGCACAAAGATGATTGGACTGTGAACAGTAGTACAACTATATCTAAGAACAATTAACTCTTGCCGACCAAAAAAGAAATGTATGATGCATGAAAATGTGTATAAAACATCTATAGAATATTCTTGTCAAATATAAATGAAATTAACTTTATTATAGAAATCATTCTGGGAGATTTCTAGGGAAGACAAATACTTACATTTCGACATAAAACAAATCGGATTATATCGAAGACACAATCTACCTTTTATCTATCAAACTCTTTTCTTCGTCGAAGCTCTCTCTTAACCCCTGTTTGCACATAGCTTCAGCCGTTAACAACCTTTGGAAATACCAACAGATATTTTTCTTACATAAATCTAGTGCGTATTGTTCCAGGTTTAATTATATGCAATGGAATGATACAAACTTGGAACATCAATCCATAATCTATGAACAGATTGGTAGAAGTATTCGATATATCTTGATAAAACTCTTAAATTCGTGGCAAAGCTTGTTGATCATGGCTTCTTTTTTTTTTTTTTCCTTTTCTTTTTTTTTTTTTTAAACAACTTCATGACCAACACAGATCAAACATCCATCCAGTCTACATTGTTCTTTTTTTTTCATTATAACATACAAATGCCCATTTACAAATAATACACCAAAATGAATAAAAGTTTGGATACCAAAATGAAGATTTGTTCCAACTGATATAATGCCTTCAGTGTACAAAGGTCCATGTGAAAGTCTTTTCCATGTGTTACAGCATAGGGCACAGTTGCAGTACAGAAGTACTCTGAGAGCCATTCTTCCTTTATAAAATACTGCTGAACATCCAACTGTTGTCCATATAGTCATTTACGGAATTAACACATGTTTTACTGTAATCTTGGCCAGTATTGAGACATATCAGGTTCACTGCCAGGAACTTGAACGGGGACTGACACTCCAGGGGAAATGAGACCTGAAAATTGAGAGGGGGAAATGGATATTTTAGGTTTTCTATACATAGCACAATTTTTGCTTTACAGTTTCACAGATTTGAGCTTGTACTCCAGTCAACATCAAACCTCACTGTCTACCAGCCTGTGGAACCAGGGGTTGCGGGTATATATATTTTAGAAATTATGCGCATCTCACTGATTGCTGTTACAAATAAACTTTCATGCTTCAAGATAAATGCCAGAGCCTGGACTCATTTGTATCAGTTGAGAATTCAGCCCAAAATACACTGAACAGTTCTATTCTTTCTGAAAGTGCCTGGATTGCTCCTGTTTCTGCTGACACTTGCCCTTTTTTGCCCTGATTTGCCTTTTTTATGCATGGGCTAATATTTCTACAGGTTCCCTGCCTCTTTGATAACTTCAAACCTTTAGCAATAAATAACGTCTGACACAGACACAATAAAAATGTGCCCAGGACTGCAAACAGTTTCACATACACTTAACCTCAGCACTGTGGATATCTCTGCTGAAATTTAATGCTGAAAGAAATGCTGATTTAGAATTTAATTATACAGGGAAGATTTGGGGGGATGGGGGGCTCACTAAAGAGCTTGCCTCTGTCCTGCTATTTCCACACCACCTCTGTTAATCAGCTTTCTTCCCATCTAGTCCTCCAAGAAGCAGCTGAAAAATCAGAATTTTTTGCTCTAGTTTTCAAGGTTATGCATTTTCATCTTTTGCCTGGCATGGCAGCAACTAATCCCAACAGAGAGACCTCCCCCAGTGATGAGGAGAGACTTGTCACAGGGAATACAGGTGAAAAGCCGGATGGCTGGAGCAGGGAAGGCAGGCTGGCAGGAAGGCTGGGGGAGCAGGGGGTCACTCACCTGTGGAAGTGGTGCCAGAGGTGCCCATGGGCTGGCTGTTCATGTGTGTCTGCATGTGAGGAGGGGTGTATGTATCATAGCTCCGTCCATTCACCGATGGACTGGTGGGCAGCATGCAAGAGTAGGAGGAGGTCTGGCTGGGTACCGGGGGCTGTGGGGGCAAAGCACAAAGTGGTAAGTGGCCCTGCAGGTAAAGACAGCATCACACTCTTGGGCACGGATGTGCCAGCCCTCAGACAGCAAAAAATGAGCTTCAAGTTTCAAATTCAGGCAGCCCGATGTAAAGACTTATTTAGGAGCCCAATCAAGCAGGCCCTTCATGGAGGCTTTTGGGCTAAAAACCAACGTGGACGGTGACTGGCGCTTTTTCAGACGTGCTTGGTGAGCAGATCCCTACATTCAGATGCTGATGGAGGTGTTACATCCCTAAGCCTGAGTGCTGCCCTTGTTTATATCCATGTAAAATAAAGATGTCTCCTACCATTTGCAGCCAGAGACAGGGCCAGCATCTTACCTCGCACTTAGTGCTGTAACTTCAATGTAATTAACATTTTAGTTGTAGTTGTAACTACGATATAACTAATATTTTAGAGGCTGGTCCTGTGTCTGCCAGCGCGGGGCACATACACACAGACCACATGTAGGGTTGGGGGGACCAAGGCTTTGAAGGGGAACCCCCAAACCCCATCACACACGTGTCTTGATCCCCATCAGAGCCGCAGCCACCCCAAACCTGTGACAGCAACCTCCCAGAGCAGACATCTCCATTTACCTCAACTCCAACCCCTAAAACCCAATTTGCCAGGGGGAACAGCAGCTGGGGGCAGGGGCTGAGGGATGGCACAGTGCCAGGGAGGGACCAAGCAGGGGCTCCTCCTGCTCCAGGCTGCTGGGTGAGTGGGGACCAGCACAGCCTTTGCCCGCAGAGGCAGCGAGGGAGCAGGAAGCAGGATGAGTAATTCCCACCCTGCGCACACGAGACCCGACACGTCTGCACACAGTTCCTGTCTGCACATCCCTGCCACACGCCTTCTCCAGCAGCACTGACAGCCCAACTTGCTCTGGGAGAGCGCTCAACGCTCCGTGCACCCGCACAGAGATGCCAGTGGCTCCCCCTCTGAGCCCACTTGGCTGCCTTGCCACGGTGACCATGTAGGCAGCATTTTCCAGCGAGGCTGTGCCCCTGCCCAGGTGCCCAGTGGTGAATCAGGGGCCTCCTGCTTTCCCAAGGGTCCCCTCCTGTATCAGCCTTTTGATCTTTTGTCATCTGCTCCCAGCCCGCTGCCGGGGACCGCGCCGCCGGCCTCCAACGTCACGAAGCAGCGACCCAGCCAACACCGTTCCTTTCCACAGACTTGCAAGACTCTAACTTTATTTGGTTAATTTTGGTTCAGCAATTAGTAACATCGTAATTGCCGCAGTGAAGGAGTCAGGCTCACTAATCTGCTCGCCTGTCTCTAGCAGTGGTCAATGCTGTGTGCCTCAGACAAAGCTGTAAAACTCCCGTAATTGGCCAGCACCTTCCTAGGCCAGCCCCACCATTAAAAAAGGAGGAATTTTGCATCTGAAAGGTCTATAGAAACAGACCCCAAAGGAATAGATTTCTTCCTAACCCAGCTGGTGATCAGCTAATGCTTTCAGGCATGAGGATTGACAGCTCTTGCAATTCTGGCTTAGCTGGCATAACCACTGATGCTAATCACATCCTTCCCTCTCTCAGGTGTTCCTAATGTGCCGCTGCTGCTTTACCTACATCCAGAAGGTTGGATCCCTCCAGCAGCTTATTCAGGCAGCAATTTCCACAATATGGCATCAGCAAGTTCCATAGGTTAACCACTTTTTTTTTTCTAAACAGCGTTTTTTATCCCAGATTTGTTGCCTTGCAAATCTGAGGACTTTTTCCTTTAAAAACCTGAGAAAAGTGCTTGTTGAGCACCACATCTTTCAGTGCCCTTTCCCTTCTGATTCCCCCAAACAGGGCATCTTTTCAAATGCCAAGGAAGCCTTTGGGTGCTGCTTTCCCTGCAGCACGGTTTGGGTCTGTATCCTTCATCGTGCAGAGGAAGGGTCCCCACCCACACTCCCACACAGCCCAGGGGCTACCAAGTCCCCAGGGAATGTCGTGCCCTGGTGTGGCACTGGACTTACTTGCATAGGCAGGTTGTTGGCCATGGTGAAGCTGGGCATGGGCGGCAGCGCGCTGTACGTGTTCGTGAGCGCCGTGTCCGTCCTGCCCAACATGGAACCTGATGTGAAAGAGGAAACTATAATAGAATAGACAGATAGATGAACACATTAGTTTAACCACAATTACAACTGGCAGCACAGCCTCAGAGTCTCATTTGGCCCAGAGGACGGATGGACGTGAGCGAGTTGGTGGCATTACCGGGGGTGGTTGGTTGTGGGATCGGCTGGTAAACGCTTGTGCTGAAACTACTACTGATGGGAATGTGGCTGGGAGTGTTGCTGGCTTGTCTTCGCTGGTTCCTCAGCTTCTCTTCCCTTCTCCACTTGGCCCTTCTGTTGGAAAACCACACCTGGAAATACAGCATTTGAGAGAGGTGAGTGACCTGACAAGGACTAGAGGCATGGGGCCTCCCCCACGCAGCTCGAGAGCAAAGCAGCGGGTGAAAGCAAAGCCTGCGGCTGCTATTTTCCTGAAAGAGGGACATGGGCAACTACCTGATCATAAATATGGGTTGCACCGTGCTTTGAGAAGCCAGGAGTAACAAAATCAGAGTAGTAATAGTAAAAATAATAATAGTTATAATTGCAGAGCAAATCAGTACCTGTATCCTTGCTTCAGGCAGGTCTATTTTAGCAGCTAGTCTCTCTCTTGCAAACACATCAGGATAGTGGGTCCTCTCAAATTCTGCAGAAGGAAATATTCTTGCATTAGCTGCAGAGCTGATGCGGCTGACTGTGAAACCACAGCTGCTCCTGCACTGCCTGTGCTCTAAATGCTCCTAAGAAGCATCACTGTAAGGGCAAAGCTGAGCTTTCTGCCTGTGTGACAGCAAGGAGGACGCCCTGCCTGCTGGGGAGCACTGCCACAGGGATGGGCAGCCTTGGGTGCAATGCTGCATCTCTCAAGAAGCAGCGAGGGCTCCTGCCTCCACTGAGGGGGTCCCCAAGGCAGCTCTGACCCTGTCACCAAGAAGCAAAATGGCACGTCGCTAAATAACAGCACAAAAGGAGGACAAAGCTCCGCGGCGGGTCAGAGGCGAGGTGCGCCCAGGCTGGCCAGGGAAAAGGGCAGCTGCTCCCAGCCCCGGGCACTGAGGATGGGAAATGAGTGTGGGGGCAGGCATGGAGGACTCTGCCAGCCCCCTGCCTGCCCTCGCCTCCCCAGCAATGCAGCACAGTGGACGGGAGGAGAGTTATCCCCCCAAGAGAACCCGGGGTGCAGCACGGGTGTCATCTGTGCCCTGAACACTTCGCCTTTGGAAACCATTTTAACAGTTTTTCAGGGCACACCACAGCCACCAATTAATATTTGGAGCTCTGTGAATAAAAGAGCACGGAGGGAGCCACAGAGTTTAAATACATACATATATATAAGGCACAGGAATGCCATGCTTACATTCAGCTGGTAATGTAGTCGGGGCACATTTTGTTTTCTCTCCTGCTTCAGCCATAGGATAATGTCACTCACCTTTCTCAAGGGCTTCGATTTGCTCTTGGGTAAAGGATGTCCTATTTCTCTGCAGCTTCCTTTTCAGCTGGAGTCTCATTTGGGCCTCGTCTGAATCCTCTCCATTCGAGCTGATGGAGTTAGTGTTTTCCCCTCCTCCCTCCTGTTGCGGACAGCCATCTGTGGAACCGAGAGAGTCAGAAAGTGAAATGCAGGTACCTTGTTTGAAGATCCCTATCAAAGAAATAATGCAACTGGAAACGAGTTCGGCCATGTTTGCTGACACCCTCCCTTAAAAATGTCTCGGGTATCAAAGCAGCACGGCACTAATGGCACAGGTAACACGGAAACATTTCAGTTTCCAGCCTTACGTAAACATCGCAGATGAGGAATTATGATCACCTGGTCTTAATTTCATTTTGTTTTCCCTCTGGAATAAAACCTGCATAAAAATACTTTCCCCTGAAAGTGATTCTTTCCATGAATCCCTGCTGGAGTGCCATGGCAGTCTCCTCCGTCTGCTGCATTTATTTACCTATTGCTATATTTAAAATAGCGATGTTCAGTATTTCAGATTATCTATAATCAGTAATTCCTATCTAATCAATTAGATGTTGATAGGTTTGCAGAAAATGCTATTAAGAAACCAAACCAAGCTTGTAATCTTTTTTAAAAAATATTTATCCAGTTTTTATTTGAATTCTGCACAGTCAATTTCATTTTAAAGGTTGTGAATTTAGAAGTGCCTGCATTGTTCTGCAGTTTTATTCAACTATTGTATGAGTGTGCATTGCCTTGACACCTATTACTGAGCACAGCTGTAATTATATCATCACCAAGAACAGGCTATAATTGCTGAAAATGGAATTTTATATTTAGATAAAAGGACTGTCCATTCTTTGTAATGTGTTGCACCAGAGAAAAGTAAGATTTCTTTTAAAATTTTAACATGTAATTTTAAAAGAAATAGTAGCGAGTTCACTAACTAGCTAAATACGCTGTTCTGCAGCTGAGCGTTTGGCATATCATTTAAGTGGTACATTTTTAATTAGGGCATTTCCACCACTTTTAATGTAATTTCTGTCATTAAACAGGGAAAGTTTCATTGTGCTCAGCGCCCGGGCGGAGGCGGCAGCGGCCGGGGCCGGCTGCTCTTGGGGGGCTCCGCGGGCACCCCCGGCCGCCGGGGCCGGAGGGACGGAGGCTGCCGGCGAGGCAGAGAAGTCGTTGTCCTAAATGAGCTCTCCCTCTCCTTTCAAAGCATATTTTTCGAAGCGTTTTGATGTCGCATAAAGAGGGAGCCGGGGTGAGGGACGCATGGGCTACTTATGCTAATTCCCTTGAAAAGTTACGCCAAAAATAAATAGCGACACTCCCGCGACATCCTTTAAATATTGTGGGAAATCAACTTTAAAGTAATATCATTTATAATCGGCGAACAATGGCCCCGGTCTTCAAAGCTCGGGGGGAATTGTGACAGGATCTGGTGGGACCCTTTCAACCACTTTGAAATGTTTTAAAACCCGAACTTTCTCCTCCATTTAAACACGGGGATTCAGCGGCCGTGGTCACCATATGGGCGGCCGCAGCCCCATTGAGGCGGCCGGCGGCGGGTGAATAGCGGGGGGGCGGGGGGAGCCGCCTTTCAGGGCACACAAAGCCCCGGGCCCGGGGACGGCCGCCGCGGCGGGGCAGCGCCCTGCCAAGCGCGGGTGGCAGCGCCGGGGGCCGCGCCCGCCCGCGGAGGGGCCGCGCTCACCTCCGCCACCGCCCTCATCCATCACTGTCCGCCCGGGCCGCGCCCGCAGCGCCCGGGGGCCGGGGGGGCGCCCGGGGGGATGGCCGCGGCCCCCCCAGCCCGAACCTGCCGGGGAGCGCAGCGAGCCCACCGGGCCGCTCCCGAACCGGGCGCCCCCGCTCCCAAGTTTTCAGGCTGTACTTTTTTGCCACCCCGTCTCAGCGAGCTCCGCGTCTCCCCAAAATCTTTCAGCCAACTTAAAGTTTCACCTAAACTCGCTTATGGTCATTTCCAACCCGGACAATTAAGATATCTTCTTTTTAGACACACACTCCTTTTTTTTTTTTTTTTTTTCCTTTAGGTTTTGGTTGTTTGGTTTTTTTTTTTTTAAAGCCCCTAAAAAAAGCGATCTCAATAGGGCTGTTCCACCTTCCAGACCTAATCCGTAAGAAAGCAAGTGAATGTCCGTCCCTATTATCCTATAGCCAGACCATCTGACGCTGGGTATAGGATTTGTTTCCTGGAAGAAAAAAAAAAAAAAAAAAAAAAAAAAAAAAAGACGCTGGGAAATAAAATCATTCCTTAGTTTCTTAGTGTCTTACTCAGTGAGGCGGAAAACAAGCAAAAAAAGATAGCAAACCAATTGCAGCACCTCTCAGCTATAGAGCCGGGATCAAAACATTGTAGCATCTGTTGAAAGAGAAAGTGTCTAAATCCTATAGAAGGCTTTAGTCTTATAAGAGAGGGTGGGGAGAAAAAAAGATAAGAAACAGTGTCTCGGTGATCCCTAAAACCACTAAATCACTAGAGAATTTCTCCCGGATAGAGATGTCTCTTTTTGTTCTGTCAGCCCTCATGTATCCATTATTTTATTCACTGCTGCATGGCGTTTATCAGATTGAGACCATATTTGTACCCCTCTGAGACCTAACCTCTCCTTATGCTTTTTGAGTAATGGACTCTTAAAATCCAGTAACATACCCCTGCAAGGGAAAAACATTAGAGGGAGCATGAATATTCCAGAGGAAATCCATTTTATTAATTTTAATTTTGCCACGCGGATGTTTTAAGTGCCTGCCTGCCTCCCCCTCGCCTCTGCTGCCCACGCACACCCGCGGCCCGAGCCGGCCCTGCCCGCTGCGCGCCGCTTCGTTTTGGGATTTCGGACGGGGCTCCCGAGGCCCTCCGGCCGCGCACGCCCCTGCCCGGGGCCCGCGTTGCCCTGCGGAAACTGCGCTCGTCCCGGTGCCACGGGAAGGGGTCACCGCTGTCCCCAAAGAGCCGCCGGGCCCAGGTGCGCCCGCACCGCACCCGCGCAAGGGCTGGGCCTCCGAGCAGCGCTCTGCGGCAGGGAGCGCGAAACTTCCCCGTTTAACGCCTTTCCTAAGACAAAAAAAAATAATAAATAAATGAAAACCCCAAAAGCGCTCCCCGGCGGAGGGTGCGCTGCCCCGCGCAGCAGCGCTCCGCGCTTCGCCTCTCGGTGCGGGCAGCGAGCGGAGGCGCCGGACCCGCCCGGAGAGCCCGGCCGGGCCGGGGCGCCGCAGGTAAGGGCCAGGCGAGGGCGGCTGGCGGCAGGAACCGCCCCGGCTCCTGGGGTGGACATCGGGCAAAACAAAACGCCAAAGGAAAACCCCGCAACCGGACAACAAAAAAATCACCCAAGTGGGGGTGGGGGGAAGCGAGGGCTCCGCTCTATCTTTCTAGTGTCCTTCATAGACTGTTTTCTTCTCTTAAAACTGACATGTCTAATTGGCAAGCGGTGCCATATCGTGTCCAGAGGTCTCCTGTGGAACATTTCTACAGCTGTCTCCTTCAACTAGACGCTTATTCATGTCGCCTTAATGAGAAACAAAACGATCTCTAATGAGCAATTACATAGCGACAGAATTGTTCCCATAACAAATTCTTGCGTGTGACAGAAACATCCTTTGTACCAGATATTCCGCACACTGTTACCGATTTTTTTTTTCCTTGCGGGGTGAAAACAAAAAGCAGGTTGTTGTATATAGACACCTCTTCTAAAGGAATGACCAGAGCCAGGGAGAACCGAGCCTGAACAGAGCGCGCATTCAAAAAGAAGCCATTAACCATCTTAAGTATGTAACGTAACATCCCATTATCCTTCATATTATCCCCTTGTCATTCCTACAACAAATACCTATTAATCTCCAGGATAAACAGTTTCCTATATTTACAAAGTTGTTTCGGGTCCATTGAGGAGGAATTATAATCAGCCCTACGGAGATAGTTACCGATCGCCCCGGCTTTGGGGAGAGACCCCGGCGCGGGAAGGCGGCCCGGGCAGGGAGCGGGAGCCCTAATTACCGGGCGATGGGCGAGGTTAAGGCTCAGCCCCGGATCCCGCCCGGCCGCCGGCACCGCGGCTCGGCGGACGCGGCTTTGGCAGGGGATGCTGCTGGGCTCCCCTGCCCACCGCCGGGCCGGGCAGGGCGCTCACACCGTGCCGCCGGCCCCACAGCCGCCCAGGGAGGCGGCGGACGAACGCCCGCCACCCTCCGCCCGGCGGCCGGGGAAGGGGCAAGGCGGACCCGCGTCGGGGCTACCTCCGCCGGACGAGGCCGAACCGAGCCGATCCGGTCCACCCCGGGCTGGGGAGCGGCGACCGCGTTGTCCCTTACCTTGTGTGGGCTGTCCGGGTACCGAGGTGCCGGGATACCAGCCGGGTCGGGTGCCCCAGGTCCCCGTCTGCCCGTTCAGCATCCTTAGCTTGTCGTACATCCCGTCGGCACCCATCTGTTGCTTTTCGCTAGCCAGGTTGCGTAGGACTCTGTTTATCGACGACACCTGGAAGGCAAAGGACAGGAAAGGCAATGGTAGTGCGGTAGCGCGCTCCCCGCCAGGCACCCGCGCAACCCCCGCGTCCCCCTGCGCAGCGGGCGGCTCGACCTGGGCGCAAGTCAGGGCTTCCCTGAGCGCCGGCTGCGGCCGCCCCGCACCGCCAGCCGCCCCGACTCGCTCACTGCTGCTGGTGGTGGTGCAAACAAACAAACAAACCACGGGGGAGGGGGAAAAAAAAATAAAAAAAGCAAAGAAAAAAAAAAAAAAAAGCCCCAAACCCAACCCTGCAAAACCAGAGTGATGGCTCCGACTGATACTTGCAGTCCTGAGGCGCCAGGCGCAGGGGTGACCCGCATATTGGTTTTTATTTTTTTTTTCCCCCTCCTTAAAGGCATTTGTCAGATTCTGTATGAAAAAATGCGTCTGACCCTGCCACATGCAAATGATGTGAACCTGCTATCCTCTCTTCTGATACCAAAACAAAGGAAGCAGAGGCTCGCTACGGCTACCCAGCATTGTACACGGCACACAGGAAGGTTTTTTTCATGAACTTACACTGGGTATATTATCGTTGGTACAGACCCCCTCTGATAGTAATCTGTCTCGAATCTCCCACGCAAAGATGGAGGGGCACTCTCGTTTATACTGCGCTATTTTGCTTACAACTTCTGGAGTCGCTACTCTCGGTTTACTACCTCCGATTGCCCTGGGTCTGATGGAGCCAGTTTCGTAATACCTGCCCAAAATTTTACTCACACATCCATTCGACACCTGGATAGGGAAGCGGACAGAAAATCACATTATTAATAATTTCAAGACAAAAATAAAATTGTTTAAGTATGCATTAAACAATGACAAGCTTACGTTTTGATTGTCCAGCACTTGGACTTTTGCATCTGCATGGGTCTATAACACAAAAATATACCTTAAATGGTATGAGAACTTACTTAGAGAGTCTTTTTTTTTCTTAAAAAAAAATTACATTCGTGGCCCTACCCTCTACAAAAGTGATACTTTAAAAACATTTGGAAGAAAAAAAAATCATCTGGTCAAAACGTAATTCTCTTAGTATCAAGGTTAAAATACGCCTTAAATGCGAACAATAGGTAAACCGGACTAGTCTCCATCCTTCTCACTGCTCTTAGCCAAAGGACTTGAGGGGGAAGGGGTGAGTAAAGGGTTTTCAAGACCTACATTTACAAAATACCCTGAACTGCGCCAGATTGCATTAATGTCCGTAAGGACAGATTCCGATCTAAAACAGCGTGGCTTTGAGAGGGGTTCTTTTTTCCCTCTCTCACTTTTTTTTTTCCTTTTTTTTTTTTTTTTTAGGTATTGTTTTGCTTTTTGGAAGAAAAAAAAAAGTAAAAATTAAAAAAAAAATAAACAGTAAGCCACGCCAAATGCATACAGATATCACAAAATCATAAGTAAATATGGGGGGGAGGGAGGGAAGGAGAGGAAACTGAAATTATGCCGAGCCGTATAATTCAGTTTATTACAGCAAACTAACTGTAACGACAGCGCGGGTTATCACCGGATGGAAATAAGGGGGAACGAAAAGTAAAAATTTAAATATTTGCAAAGGCATATATACGTATATATACGCATCGAAAGGTCTGTTTGCAGCAACAATCGAGCAGATGGATCGTTTTATTAGGCTGGAAGGCGGGTGGTGGTGGTGGTGGGTGGGTGTGGGGGGGTCGCATTAGCGCCCGGGCGCCCGGCGGTGACACAGCGGCGCTGGAGCGGAGCGGACGGAGCGGTGGGAGGACGGGGGGCGCCGCCGCCTTCACCTGCAGGATCCGGGAGATGTCGCAGGGCCGGGCGCCGCTGTGAGCGAGTTCCACGATCTTCTGCCGCGTGGAGTCGGGCAGCGGCCTCCCGTTGACGAACACCCCGCCGAGCTGGTTCACGCCGCTGTGACCTGCGGGAAGCACAGCGCCCACCATAGCACCCTCCGCTCCCGCCCCAGCCCCGCTCCGCCCCGCTCCGCCCGGCCAGGCCGACCGCTCCGGCCGGGTCCGGCCCCGGCTCCGGCCCCGCCGCCATCCTCGCCCTCTGCTCCCCGGGAGCCACCGCCGCTCCCAAAATGCGTCCACGGCGCACTCCCCGTCTGAGAAACCCGCGGCAGCCACAAACCCCGAAACCCAACCCAAAAGCCCAGAATATTCCTGGCTGGTTCGCCTTGGGTTGCTTCTTTGCGTCGCCTTTTTTCTTTTTTTTTTTTTTTATCCTCCTCCCCGCCGAAAAAAAAAAATTAAAGCCCAAAGCCCAAGCCCAAGCGAGCCTGCCTGCATCCGCCCAGCCGCAGCTCGCTTCGCCAAAAGCAAAGCGAGAGGCTGCCTCGCCAGTGCCCAACCTGAAGCTCCAGGCTTTGAAGGTCTCCCTGGAGAAGCTCTGCTCTACGCGCTCTCCGCTCTCCTCTCTTTGGAGCCTCCTGATAAATTGACTCCAAGAGCCCAGGCTTCTTAGCAATAAATAAGCTCCAAATATAGAAGAGGGGGAAAATATGATGAGCCTCTCTGACATTTGTCTTTAAAATAAAACTAGCTGCACGTCAAGTTTGAGCTTAATTTCTGGAAATAGGCGGAAGTCGCCCCGGATCATGCATGGAAGGCTAATTGAAAAGATCAGTTGGAGCACTTGTGGCAGGCGTGTCACTTTATGACAGTACTCTGCTTTTGAAAATTGCATCGTCACGACAAATAGTAGCATGATAAAACGACCCTTTCTGTCCGCATTTGGATATCACTCAGACTAGATTGAACTCTACGCGCTCTCCCTCCGAGGGAGGCTGCGGTTTGCGGTAGCCGGGGGCTCTGCGCGGACACACCGAGGGGGCGCGCTCCCCGCGCAATGGATTCGAAGTGACATCGGGGCTGGGGAATTTGCCGCCCCGGCCCAGCAGCGCGGCCGGAGCTGCGACCTGCGCTGCCCACGGCGGGGAGGGAGAGGAGCCCCGCGTCCCTCCCCGCCTGTGCCCCGGGGGGCGGCGGGCTGCGCCCCGGCGGGCGGGCCGGCCCGGGGCGGCGGAGCGGGCCCGGGGGCGCAGTCCCGCGGCTGCTTCTTCCCCCCCACCCCGCTCCTCTGCCCCTCGTCCCCGCGAATGCGTGCGGGGGGACCCTCGCGGCATAAAAAATGGCAGCGGGGAAAGCAAAATCAAAGTTTCACTTAAAAGGTTAAGCCTTAATCATTATATAATTTCCCTGGAGAGCGGTGTAGATCTCGTCCAGTGGCAATGATTATGCGCCTTGTATTCTATTGCTAGTCATCTAATAGGAAAACATATGGTGTCAATTTGGATGCTCTGCACCATATACACCCAGGAGTTATTAACACAAAGCCTGAAGAGCCCGCCGCGACCTTTAAACAAAATAAAGGCTTCACCCGAATGATATCTTTTCTGCGTTTTGCAGTGGCGATCCCAAACGGCCGAGTGAAGGCATCCCCCATTACCATAAACCCTCGGCACGCCACGGCCAAGGGCAGCCGCCGCCGTCCTTGCGAGGCGCAGGTAAAACCCTCCCCCGGCTGCCGAAGCTCAGTTTTTGCTCGGGATAAATGAAAATACATCGCACGCACACGCAGCGGCCCCGGAAGATAAAAGGAGGACAAAACCCCCACAAAGTAACACCAAAACAAACCAAATTTTAAAAGAAAAAAAAAAAAAGAAAAAAAGCGCTTCACGCAAGGGATATCTGAGAAATCCCTAAAACCTCTGCTTTTCCGGCTGCTCCTCACACGCGGGGGGACAACTTATTAATGGGTTTAAAGGTGGGATGATAAAGGGGTCCCGGAGCCGCGCGTCCCCTGTCAGGTTCCAGCGGAGCGCTGGGGTGGGGGCCGGCCCTCCGCGCAAGGGCCGCGCAGCTCGACCTGCGCTCCTCGCCGCCGCTACGCGCGCAGAATGAGCGGGCCCGCGGGGTGTGAGGCTCACCCCGCGGAGGATCCGTGTCCCGAGGGGAGGAGGCCTACTCCAGACCGACTGGGACCTCACGGCCAGTCCCTCCGACCACCGTGCAGCCCCTTTCTCCGGGGCGCAAGGAGAGGCCAGCGCACCCCATTCGGTCCCCGTGCTCTCCCGCCCTGTGCCAGCGCTGTCCCCTCTGAGAAGCGCACAGGCCTATCCACGAGGTCTTAAACAACACCAGCAACCCCAACAACAACACAAAAAGCCTCCCCCTCCCCCGAAAAATTAATAATCCACAGAGGCATCAGAATCGGGGAGCAAATAAACCCAAAAGGCGGTGAGGAACTGCGCCTAGCGCGGAGTGGCTTTTTCCTGCCCAACTCCCACGGCAGAGAAGGCAGGGACCCGGGCAGGTTCTGGCCACGCAGCGGGCCTGGCCCAGTGGCCCGAGAGCCGTGACAGCGCTGCCGGGCCCGTCCCCGCCGCCCTCGGAGGTACCCGCGCCCCGACGGGGCGGGCGCCGCCGGCCGCGCAGGGCCCCGCTCCCGGCGGAGCCGCCTCCCTCCCCGGCCCGGCCTGAGCCCTCCGCCCCGCTCTGCTGCCCGCTCCTGCGCGCCCGCGGCCGCGAAGGGGCGCGGAGTCACTTACTGTTCTGCATGTTGGGCTGATAGAGCAGTATCCCACGGGGGTCGCCTATAGCAGTCTATCAGTGACAAAATAGGCGTTAATCAGGGGAGGCAATGCACACGGTTAAGCTGCAGAGAGGCTAATATCTCACCGGCTAACTTTGTTATCTTTAGGCATCTTCCCCCGATTCGTTTAAGGATTTGGGGGTTTTATACCTCAAGGCAAAAAAATGTTCATATGTATCCCTAACTCGCAGGGGAAAAAAAATAAGAAAAGCAGCCCGCCAAGTGGTTTCTCGTTTTAATTGCATGCAGGTGGCGTATTGCCTCGTCGTTAGTGCTCTTCGCTGAGGTGTTGTATTAAGTGGAGCGACAACAATCACAAAGAGAGTCCGAAGTCATGTTTTTAAACTTGCCTGAAAGCGGGGTGGACTGTCCTCTCATACAATTTAGGGACTCGCACATCTGCGTGTCACTAGTTAAAGTCTTCCCTCTAGGACAAAGCAGAAGAAGTACATTAAAAAGTGTGCAGCGACGCCGGGAAGGTGTGCGGGGCGGCGGGACGCGGCCCGGGGGGAGCGGGCGGCGCTGCGCGGGGGCTGCGCGGGCACCGGCGGCGGGGGGAGCACGGCGGGGGGAACCTTCCGCCGGCTGCCCTGCGTGCTGGAGCGGGGCTCCATTTTTACCTCCGGGTATTTCCTCGAGGGTTTTTTTTTGGTTTTTTTTTTTTTTTTTTTTTTTTTTTGTGTGTGTGTGTGTGTGTATTTTTTTTCCCCCTCTCCCCTTTTCCGCGCGGCGCTAGCAACTTTTTCTCCCCCAAACTCCCCGTCTTGTGATTAACTTCTTTTTTGGTCTTTAGATCTTCCCCTTTTTCACTGTACTGTGACACACGCTGTCTACCTCGCCTCACTGCTTTAAAAAGTAAGAACAGGAGGGGGTGAGAACTGTTAAACAAAGCCTACAGAAAGCGAACAATGGCCTCCATTCTGCTCCTCTACCCAAACCCCGAGTGCAGAAACGCAGGCTCCTTAACCGGCCGCGCAGCTTCCCAACTCAACGGACCAACAACCCTCCAACTTACAAAGAGCAGAGAAACAAGCCCCTTCTCCCTTCATTAGTGCCTGCCTTGACCCAGCGCCTGGACAGTCCCCAGCGCCTTCCCCCCCACCCCCCCCGCTCGCTGGCTCGCTCCCTCCCTCCCTCCTTCCTTCCACTACTCCCTCTCTCCTCCTCTCGCCACCTTCCTTCCCTCCCTCCTTTCCTCTCTCCTCCTCCCCCCCCCTCCCCGCCAACCCCCGGCCCACTTATTTATTTATTTATGCGTCCCCATGTATTTATTTGAAATCGTCGCGGGTGAAAATGGAAAAGTAATTTCTCGTTATAAATATCTGGCGGTAATTGTGTTACTGGTGCGAGTTGTTAGGGGTTGTAAAAAGATACAACAGCTCAGTGGGGTGCTCAATTGGGGAGGGACAATTACAATAAAGAGCCCATTCAAGGGGGTTGCTAAAAAAAAAGGAGGTAAAATAATGAAATAGTCGCAGCCTTCATTTTCTCTCCCTTTTTTTTCGCCTACAAATACTCATTCTCTTTCTTTTGCGCCTATAATGAATATTAATTTTACTCTTCCTGCATATGATGGAGAAATCAAAGAGGCACGTTTCCCCATTCAGGACTAGCCATGGTATAATTTATTAAGTAGCTTTTAGTAATCTTAAATCCATAAAAATAAACATCAAACAAGTACTTTCTCGCAGCGTGAAGACTTTAACTGGTAAATATTTACTGCTCTTTGGAGAGCTACCTGATTAGCAGCAGAGCAAGCTACACTGTACTTCAATGGAGACGTGGTGATATCTCCTTCAGCTGAACTGAACGTGAAGTCATCCCTTTAATACACCGAACACGTCTGCATAGACACACACCGAACGGGAAACCCACCGCTCCAGACACAATTTCCTCCCATATTTCATGCACAAATCATAAACGCGGGGCCTACGGGGCGAAAGAAGCCATCCGAAAAGGCACCAGCAAACTTCCAGCTCTCAGCTCTGCCCGCACGGACCTCAGAAATGACACTGAGTGGGTTTAAAAGAAAAGAAGCGGGGTTGGGGGGGGGAGGGGGAGAAAGAGGGGGAAAAAAAATAAAAAGCCGCGAAACAAAACAAACCCAAACACAGCCGAAAGCGGTTTACAATAGAGGGCGAGGGTAACCGAGGTCTTCAGCAAGGTAAGAGGAGGCGTGGGGCAAGGAGCTGCGTGTCTGCTCAGCAACTCGCCGCCGCCTCCGGCCCGGCAGCCCCGGCCCGGCCCGCACCGCCAGCGAGAATTCGCCTCCTCCTGCCGTGCCCCGCGGGACCCCGACACCCCCGGGCCATCCCGTGGGACCGGCCGGCTCCCTCCGAGAGCCGGGATGCAATTTGCCGTGTCCTAATAGGCCAGGCCTAATCCTCAACTCGGGTTTTAATCTCGAAAGCTTCATATGATCTCAAGGCAGAGAGTGTTTTCCCCCCTCTCCCGGTGAAATCGTATTTAGGCGTTAAGGGCAAAGTTTCGCCTTCCCGGGGCAAACGCGAAAAAGATAAAAACTAATCGGTTTGCGATGAGTTGCTGGTGAAGGTCCGCAGCTATAAACATGTATTGTCAAGGGCCACTTTTATTATTTTATGCCCCTAAAATGGAGAAGATGCACTCACTTTTCTTTTCTAGTAGGTTGTTGTCGTTTTCCAAAACAACCTCTACCAGGTACCTTAAATCATTCGAGAAAGTTTGTTTTTAAACTTTCCAGAAATTATTCTTGCTCTGCATGCCCATGAAACCCCTTCGTGCAAAGCATTACAAGGTTAAATTCAAACCCAGATTTTTTTTTCTTTGCAAATGCACTTGCGAGTAAAAATGGAACCAAGTTTATTGTTGCGCTTCGCTGGAGGATTTTTTTTTTTTTTTTTTGCGTGGCGAAGAGTTTATAACTTCTTAAATATTTAAAATTTTTAAAAAAGCTTTGCTGTAGGGAGGGATTGCAGAGGCGGATCAAAGGGGCTCTTGTAGAAATAAGAGATGCTAAGGGTTTTTTAATTAAAAAAAAAAAAAAAGGCATATCAATTTAAAAAGGGAGCAAAAAAAAAAAAAAAAAAATTCCCCAAAGAGGGAGCACGACGAGCCCCGGTGCCGAGCAGGGACGGGGCTGCCGGCGGGGCCCGCCGTGCTCGGTGCGGGCCGCTCCGCGCCCCCGGCGCTTCTCCCGCGCCGGAGCTGGGAAAGTTGCCGGCACTAGGGACAAGTTGGGAAGATCCCCGGGTGGCTGATTAAAGCTGACAGCCCTTCAGCTCCGCTCAGCTCCCCGCCTGTACCGCGCCTGGGAGCTGACTTGGCCTAGGATATGGGTTCTT